CTTATTGATTCAGATTTTGAGAACTTTAAAAAGGGCTTCAGGCACACTTCTGTAAAATCAATAAGAATTAGCTGTATAAATAGCTTGATGGGGAACTGAGCATCTAAATATTTTCACAAAGCTGGACTTTCACAATTTTTCTTTCTCAAAAATGAATTAAGTCTTCCAGACTGAGAAGCACATCTCTATGGGGGAGAGGAGTTGTTCTGCTCATCATCACGTATTGACTACTATTCGAAGTAAGGACTGTGAAAGGTCCTTCAGAAAAGGTTTGTTTAAGAGAGAAATTCAGAGAAAAATAGTTTCGAAAATCTGATGAGAAATCTTGAAAGACCTTGTAGGTACTTTCAGCTTATGTAATACATGAATATGAAGTGCTTGTTCCCAGAAAAGATAATTCAAGATGTTGAAGTGGGTGTCTAGGGTTCCCTACGGGGCTCTCCTGTCCACCTGGAATTAGGCAGGAGAAATTCAGATGGGAGGGATGTCTGAACTTGTAATCTTCTCTATAACTATGCACCTCTATGAAGGCTGTACTGGGTGCTTGAGGGACACAATTTAGAGACTTCCGATTGAATCTCATTCAAAAAGAAAGCAGAGCTCTGCATACCCACTGCACATCCACAGCTTTGATTTACAGTATAATCCCGATCACCATGCAGAAACCCGTTGTGATGCCTCTGTTGTGTTGATAGGGACATATGTCATCAGTGCTGGCATATGAGAACTCGGTGTGGGAAGGGCAAGCAAAGCTCACAGCATAGCTGAATGTCTGACCAGTGGTATTCTAGGTGGCACTGCAGACTGCCATATTCTTGCTTTATTCTATTCTTTATTTGTACTTGGTTTCATACACCTGTAGCTGTAATGCCACTGTGTCAGCCAGGGGCATTATAAGGAACTGCATTATTTTGAGACTCCCTAGTTTGTCTTACTTCAGGCCTGCAAGCTGAACATTGTTTATTATAACTAGTAGGGTTGCAGTCTTGCTCACTACAGGTTGGTAGGGTACATTTGGCTTTAGTTTTCTTTGTCAATGCAAGCAAAACAATGGGTGACGAAAAAAATTATCACTGACAGTGGCTGCTGTTGCATACAGTTGTTGCCACCTTCCTGCAAAACTGGAAACTTCGCAAACCAAAAAGTTTTCAATCTGTGCAAAACTGAGTAAAGACTTCTCTGTCAGCCTCAATAAATATGTGCATCAGCATAGCCAAGAAAGAGACAGAAAAGAATAAAAGCACGAGAACTGACGTAGGATAAGGACATTTTATCTCTTAACCCAGCTCCAAATCTCCTGATTTCGGTATTAACTTACAACTTCATCTAGTACCACTGTAAGCACATTTTGCAACTCCACACTTTCATATCATTAATTACAGAGCAGGGTTATTTTTCAGGAATACAGCACTGCTCTCTTCAGTGCACTCTAAAACCACAGTAATAATTTCAGTCTCCATCAAGATGCACACCCCAGAAAACTCTGTGATGGGAAACAGCTATAAAATATTATGTAGCAACAATTGTGTTGGAAGGGAGAAATTCAACCATAATGTCAGAATATCATAACCTTATTGGAATTAAATTAAAAACTTCAAAAAGGGGGTGTATATTCTTTAGTTATCAGTTACTCTGGACTTGGTTTTGCATGATATGCTGGCAAAACAATGTCCACCGTGTCCCTTCTAAAAGAATGTAATCAGTCCTAAGTGAGGCATTCCCTTTTTCTTAACATGTTCAACAATTCTTGTTGTCCTTTTATGAAAGGATCTGAAGTTGAAGATAGCAGAGGTACACTTTTGACACAGTTATGTCAAAGTGGTCATTAATTTTTTAATTAAAGTGAGTATTTTTAAGAATCAAGAGAGCTTTTTAGAAGCCTTACAAACAATATTAGGACCACAAATAGCAAATAGCAGGCAACCATGGAAATACAGGCACTAGAATGAATGGAATATGGTTCATGTGCCCAAAGCTTTCTGACCACTGCTCAGCTGCTGCTGGCATGTCTTTGAAAAGTAATACACAAGTATCAGAATAAGGCTTTTCTAAAATGCTTTGAAATGCTTTTTATGATCCTAAAAGGAACAGAGGCTGTGGTAGTTCTTCAACATAAAATATTTTGAAAGCATTAAATCGTTAAATTAAAAAAGTACTGGTGGCCACTGACAGAACTAGAGGAAACGGCCGTAAACTGAAGCATCAAAAGTTCCACAGGAACTTTAGGAAAAATTTTTTAACAGTGAGGGTGCCAGAGTGCTGGAACAGGCTGCCCAGAGAGGTTGTGGAGTCTCCTTCTCTGGAGATCTTCCAAACCCGCTTGGACGCAGTCCTGTGCCACGTGCTCTAGGTGACCCTGTGTGTGCAGGGGGGTTGGACTAGATGAGCTCTAGAGGTCCCTTCCAACCTTAAGGATTCTGTGATTCTATGGTTCTATGATAACCACACTTGTGCCCTATTTTCTAACTATTAATAATTCAAGATGTTTATCTTGAATAGGAACATAGGCCTGGAAAGCTTACAGTGGATCACCAAGTCAAGTCCTCAGCTATCTTAAACAACCATGTCATATCATTTATAATAGATCAGACTCCATAGGAAAACTAATTTTTTTTAGCAAATTTCTCCAGATCCTCACTGCAATTATGATTACAGCATTTTTCTAATTTTTAGGAATAATTCTGGCCATTTATTCTTTTCCCAACATATTATAGAAGTTACAAATATATTTTCCTTCTTTTGGTGCTAATCCCCTGCCAGGTTTATAGAACACAGTAACATCCTTTCCTGGAGTAAAACATCAATTATTTTAGTCTCTAGCATAACAGCTCTTTTCCTCTCTGTTCCCTCCTTATTTCTGTAGGTATTTTCTAACTCTGCGCGAAATAGGTTAATCTGAATTATTTTTTCCTGAATGCAGGTAACCAGAATTGTACTTATAGATTTACATGTTCCAGATGTTAGTCTGTGGCACTAGTAAGTCCATATTCTTATCCTGTATCTCTATTTTAGCTTTGCTTTTTTTTTTTTTTTTGCAACCACATCACAAAAGTGGTTCATATTTATCTCATTTTTAACCAAAAAAAAGTGCTACCAAGCAGAAATATCTGTTTTAAAATACATTAATTTCCTGCTGTTATTTTGGTTCTTCAGTACTTAAGAGCTGAACATTATCCTGTTTTCCTATAATACTCTAATTCTTCACATTTGTGATAATGTCTCTCAGTGAAGCTGTAAAACAAAACAAACAACAACAAGAAAAAAACAAAAGAAATGGCACCAGTTCTTTATAAAGGAAGCACAGTATGAGTCACAGTTGGGAAGTGCTGTATTACTTATGCTTTGGCAAATGTTCCAACTGTTTGGGGAAATAATAAAATAATAAAAAGTGCTATCATATATATTATCATATATATCATATATACAAGAAATGGTTACTATTTGTGGTTCATTTTTTCACCTTCAGTTGTGAAAAAATGCACCTCTTTCTTGTATGAACTCCATGGTCTATGTGTTCTGCATTATATAACACCAAGTTTTCAGTTTACTTCTGAAGCTAAACACTAACATTTGTGCCTGCAGTTTGTTTGTGGTCATGAAATTAGCATGTGCTTACACAAAATGGAGTTGATATTTAAATGCCTCGTTCTGCGCTGAGTGCATGTCATTAGCTGTATGTGAGGTTAAAACTAGCACGAATGCAATGCTGCAGCATATAGTCATGTTCGGAAGTAGTACATGAAAATGTAGCCAAATATCCTTCAAAACGTTGTGCACAGTATTTGTCACTGGTAAACACACTCCAGAATCAAAGTTAACTGATATTTCTTTTGCCTTTGCTTTTGAAAACCATTTATGTGCTGAGTTTCTTGGTGCAGCAAATAAATTGTATAATGAAAATAGAGTCATATGATAAACCATTTTGCTCAGCAAGCTTTTTCCCCCACGATGAGCACTGAGTGACTCTCAAGCATACGAATACCTGCCAGCTGTGCTGAGATAAGCGGCTTCCACTTTGCACAGGGAATTGCTTTTCTGCAGCCTCAAAGTGTGAGATTGACTATAGGGGATCTACTAGGCCACTCCAGTCACCCACTCCAGCCAGGAAACACAATGCTTGGAGGGGCACGAGGTTTGTTTAAGTCATTCTCTTCTGCAGGCTAAATAGCCAGATTTAAGAGCTATGGAAAATGCTGATGCCCCCCAGCCATGACCTGATTTCTGAGGACATCTAGTGGTGTCGGCCCGAGCAGGAGCTACTCTGCAGAGCCGGTGGCTTCTTGCCTTCGTCACCGCCAGCTGGCCGTGTTGTGCAACGTTGCCTCTTGCATTTTCTGGTTGAAGAAGGGGGCTAATGGCATCCTGTCTGAGAAGGCAATGTGAAGTGATGCTATATTTTCCCTGGTTTCTATTTTTTTTCTGATCTTTGCATTTCTATCTTAGTGCAAAAAATAAAAATGATGATTTGAACACGCAAGAAGAGGAGCATCCTTCAACCGAGGTGATCCAGTGTTCCCCATTGCCAGTTCTCAGTATTTAGAAGTCATGAGATTGGCTCAAAGATCAGAAATGTTTTAAAAAATGTGGATTTCTATTTGCCTTCTGTTTTCAGAAGCCTTAGAGTTAAAATTTTATTCTTTGTATCAACAGGGCTAAAAATGTATCTTTTGTTGTTTAAACGCTAATTTCTCCAATAAGTTCATAAACGTGGGAATTAGAGCTATAAGTATGTGGTATCCCAAAATGCCAAATAAATATGAAATTCTCACCTCAGCAAGGCTGACAGTAGATGGTTAATAGACCTTCAAGAAGACCTACTTACTTACTGCTCTGTGATTTGGCTTTGCTAGGAATATAACTCTTGCCGCACCTTTTTCAGAAAGAACAAGACTCAATTAGCTGCAATCAAAGAGGACTTTGATCCAGCCAATGACATGTACTATATGTTAAGCACTATCATTAACCATTTCATGATGGTGTGTTTTTCAGTGAGACATTGATCTGATATTCCCCCTGGGGAGAAGCGGGCAACATGATGCAGAAATTTATCTCATCAGTTCAAATTATTTTGTTACTTTCTTGGACCACAGTATGTCTGTTTGGTAAGTGAAACACTTCACAAACAGTTTGTTTTCCTTAAAACATTTTGTTTAGGAAAGTCTGAGGCTTTGCCCAATCTGTCCTGATCATCACTGAAGCCTGTACAAATTTAAATTAATATTTCTTATAAACTTCTCTGAAAATTTTGAAAATAGCTTGAATCCTCTTCTCTTTTTATAGTATTAAGTTAATGATAACATATTCTGCTGAAAAGCACTCACTCGGTCCACGTTCTCTTCTTGGGAATTAGTATCATATGTATAGTAACACTATTAAGACCATAGTATGGACTTTATCAAAGTAAAATTAAGCTTGGGTTGAAAATCAATATGTCTCTCATATCAAAATGTATGTAATTTATAGTCTGTGTTTTAAGTAGTAGATGACAAGTTGTCATAATAGGAAATATTCTTAAATATATTGGATTATTAGGCAATATTCAAATAAGAAATAAATACACTGAGGTTGCCGATCTATCCAGCCCACTGAATCTTTCTTCGTCTAATTTTTATTACTTGTAATTTACCCCAAATACGAAATATTTTTAGAGCAGTGCAAATAATGGAATTTCAGTTCTATTGAAAAAAATGACAGTGAAATTTAGCTGTAAGATGACCTAAAACAATACATTTTGAATACTTTAGGGAAAAAAAAAGCCATATATTTACTTACAAGATTTTTCTTTAATTTAGAGATTACTGAGTTTATTTCTGTGTTGAAAGTTCATTTAAAAAAATAAAAAGCATCACTAATCATTTATAAACTTGAAATAAAATATATTTACTTCTCTGAAATTTTTGGCTACTCTCCAGACAGATTTATTTACCAAATTCAGTCTATAGTTTAGCATAACTTTATTTTCTTCAAAAATACATTTCTTATCAATCAAATTTACTCTTGTCCAAATCTAATACAACTAGCTGGATTTCTGCACTTCCCTAGGTCAATCATTTCCTGGAAAACCTAAGATAGTAAGATGTCGTTCTCTAGAAAAGGACACCTTTTCTTGTTGGTGGAAGCCTGGTTCAGATGGAAGACTTCCTACCAATTACACCTTATTCTACAGCAAAGACAGGTAAAAGGAATAGTTATTCTGTAAATTATCAAGTGATGGTTATGACCAAATGAGGGCATGATTACATTAACATACTAAATCTATTTTCATGTATGTTAAACCTCATGATAGTGTGTTAACCCACTGCAAGCATGTTAAACCTCAGAGAGCCAAAAAAGGGCTACATGAAATGGCTTTTTCTTGCTGAAAGAAATGTAAATACTGCAAGTATCAAACTCTCAAACAGATTGCTCATAATGAAACTTAGTTGAGCTAAAATTCCCCTGGTCTCCTGGGAAATTCCCCTACCGGCTGGGAAAGATCTAACTTCCCCATCTTAGGAGGCACACAGTGGATGGGGAGGTCAGGGTGCAGCAAGGCCAGCTTTCCCTGTGGGACAGGAGCTGGACACCCTGGGGGCTTCCATAGCCCCAGAGCTGCCAGGACCTGTCCCACCACCCTGCCAAGGAGTTTTCCCATTGCCACACACAGCAAGTCCATGGCAGGAAAATCTTCTCTTCCCTTCCTAGATTTGTACGCAACCTAGTGATTCACAAAATAGAGTAAGATCAGGTGCGAGTTTTGCATCTCTGAATTAAAACTGTGACTCCTTCATACTGCCTAAGGATAAAAGCTGTATGTGTTGAGCTACTTTGCCTAACCCGTGTTTCTTTGCATAACTGCCTTTTGTTCCTGAAAAAAAGAGGGCTCAGTATAGTGAAGATAAGAGATTGCATTTCTTTGAATACATCTAGTGAAGTTCAGGATAGGAAAGGCAAAACCTCAGACTTCCCTGCTTAAATTAAATAAATTTGGAATCATTCAGTATTAATTGATTCAGAAAAAAGCAGCATTTAATGAAATTACTACAGTCAGCTGTCCCGGTTGACTGACTACCCAGATGAAGTTACCACAGGGAACTCAGAAGTCTGAGATAGATCATGCTTCCTCTGTCCAAGGTGGGCACATCTATAGAGCTTTGTTTTTATGAAAATTCAGATGTTTCAATTTCAGTCAGAACAAAAATTTTTATAGACATTTTAGGTCTTTATGATTTAAATCAACCCAGAACAGTCCTGCTCTCTGAACAGACACTTACAGTTTTGATTAAATCTGCTGAAGACATAGGTAATATGTAAGAGGCCATGATTAAAAATAAAAATGAAAGATGTAGTAGTGAGGATATGAAAAATAAATCAACATCTCACTGAAAAAAAAGAAACATTCTCCTGCCATAGGCCCATCAAGTTACTTTCCAGTGAAAATTTAGCAACTCTCCTTCTTTAGTCAAAGTAAATGTGCTTAATTTTCCTTTTAACTTGCCTTTATACATTTTTTTAAAAATGCCTTGCACTATTTCTGGAAGTTTCCATTTCCATTCTTTTGTTAATATATTCCTATGTATAGAAAAGCAGCAAACAGCTTTTGACAATTGCAATTGAAAAATAGTTTTTGATTCAATAAAGCATTTATACTACTACCATTTGACTCTCACAGAAATGCTGCCCAGAGACACACAGAGATGTTGCCCATATACATGCTTAAAGTTAAACATTTTAAAGTACTTTGGTGAATCTAGGCCACTACTAAAAAATATCTGCTTTGCTTCATTTCCTCACCTTTTAACTTATAACATTGTTTTATTTCAGTGAAGAAAAAATCTATGAATGTCCAGACTACAGAACATCAGGTCCCAATTCTTGCTACTTTGATAAAAAACACACCAACCACCGGACAACATATAATATCACTGTAATGGCAACAAATGAATTTGGAAGTAACAGCTCAGATCCTCAGTATGTGGATGTGACTTGCATAGGTAAAAAGGGAAGAATAAAATGGAAAAAAATAACTAGTTGGGGATATATTTCTTTTTTTAATCCCAGAATGACTTGTGCTGAAAGATTTCTTTCCTCATTATGTGAAAGTAATTATAGAGTAGTGCTTATCTACGGATGATCTATAATATGTATCTGTAATTTATGTGAAAATTGTATTTTAATTTGTTATATAGTTTATTGACATCTACTTTTTTTCTGAAAAATTGTCTCCAATTATCCAGTTATCTCCACTTTTTCCATTAAATTTGATGACAGTTTTGTAGGTTCCTAGCAATACAGATTATGAAACTTTCAAATTAGGGTAAGGCTACGTGAATGTCCCAGACCAAATTTTCCAAATGTCCATATCTTTCTGGCTGCTGGCATTGCAATAATTAGAGAATAAAAATAACTGCCAAAGTGCACGGTGCATTATTTTTGTAATATTTCTCATTCCTAACTCCATTTTGCTTTCTGCATATACATAATGTAAGCGTTATAATGATAAAGGTAGTCATTCTTTTTAGCTATGAAATATCTAACACATTTGTTTTCTAAGAGTGGCCTCGTGAAAATATGACTTGCATTCATTCTCTAGCCTGCCAAATTCAGAGTAAAGTTGAAAATTTGCTAATAGTATGTTTAATTAATACCAGTTAAACACTATTAAAGAGAAAGGAAAAAAAGCCTATTATACTGTTCCCTTATGGGAGAGTAGAATTAACTGAAACTATGGGATTAAATACAATGCTATAAAGGAGGTACATTTTCTGAGGGAAAATTAAAATATTAAGAGTAAACTTTTCTTTTGCACAGTTCAGCCAGATTCTCCTGTGGACCTCTCTCTAGAAACAAAAACATCTGCTGGTGTAACAGACCTTTGGGCAAAGTGGTCTCCACCTCCATCAGCTCACAACAGCTCTAGCTGGCATGTGTATCACTATGAGTTACGATTCAAACCTGAGGAAGAGGAAAAGTGGGAGGTAAGGAAACAAAAATATTTATTGCATAGCTTCTCTTTTGAGATAGCTCTCTTGCCTAAATTTAATTTATTGGTATTATGCACATTACAGTTTCTAAGAGAATAGCAAAATTAATGTACCCAACCTCTTTAAGGAAAGAAGAGTTTGTAGTGACAGTGAAATTCTAGGTGTTTGCCTAATTTTCTAAGAGCATCATATGCTAAAAGAAAAAGTGTTTAACCCACTGATAGAGCTTTAATTGTAATTGTTATCATTAATGTGTCTTGTGCTGAGTGTCACAGTGAAAAATTGCTCAGTTCACAGTTTAAACCTAATCAGGGTCAAAGCAGCTTATTGGTTCATTGATTCTCTTCTATGTGATCAGTCAGAACCCCCCCTTCATGTTCTCAGCTATTGCCACTTTGCCAGAAGTGGGCCACTGTACTCTCACAACTGAGATACCAAATAAAATATCGTTCTTAAGACCAAGGTATTCTCAGTGCTGCCTGGATTGCTGGTGCCTAACCAGTAGAGAAAGATCTGTGTTTTTAGACTTCTGAAGAGTAATTCAAGGGGCTTATGTACAAATCTTAATAGTAACCCCTAAAACCAGTCACTAGGAAGCACCACACAGATTTTTGTGAGTTAGACTACCTGTAGTGTTCACTGTATCCTGGACTACATGGAATGCTCATTTATGGGAAGTCAAAAATTATACATTGTAAGGTAGCAGAATCTCAGCTTTTCTATTAAGTCAGTCGCTACCTTTACTTCTTTGTAATTAACACTTAATCAAATCTCTGACCAAAACCCTTCAGAAATCAATGACACAAGGGTAGGATATGTCTCTGTGATTTATTTATTAAGATGCCCCAATTCCTTATTATTTCTACAGTTTGTTTTCTCTTCTAGACAGTATCTGTGGGAGTGCAGACACAGTACAAGGTGGTGAAGTTAAATGCTGGGTTGAAGTATGGTGTTCAGGTCCGTTGCATGCTTGACTGTGGAGAATGGAGTGAATGGAGCCCAGAAAGACAAATTCAGATCCCCAATGGTGAGTGAATGATTCCTGTTCTGCTAAATTCATTTATATTCTAACTGTGTCAGTTTTGGGAAAAGCAGCCCGTAAAACCAGATTCCTCACCCAGATCCTGCATAGTGCTGCAGAAAAGGCTTCCACGCAATTTACCATTTTTGGAGTTCAGTTGCATGGTTAGAATTGTTGATCCTCTTGGTCCTTGGCTTCTTTGCTGAACCTGGCTGTGATGTGCTAGGAAGTCACTTCTGATGCAGACAAGTCTGCATAGCTCTTGGGTCCTGTTTCTTCATTTAAAAACCTGGCTGATTTCATCTGTAAGATATCAGGGAATGGAACTTATGTAAGAGTCATTAATTTGTTCATTGGGAACAGAACTGAAGTGTCCACCGTGTCCAGTACAGCCTAACACTGCAGCAGCTCTCATGTGTCTTTCAGTGTTGTCTTGGTTTTGAGTGGACACATTAAATGCGGGTCACCTTGTATCTTTTTATCAGACACTGTAGTTAGGTTGTCTCAGATCTTCTTCTGCCATTAACTCTATTATTCATTATTTGACATGAAGAGTGCTGAAATATGGTTAACAGAATAAAAAATTGAAATGGTCCATTTTCAGATCTGCCTTAGGCAATTAGAAGTTGGAAAAATCAATGGCACTATTGTAAAAAGTGCAAAATATATATTATTAATGTAATAAGGCTATATTTTGCCACAAAAACACATTTGCAACAGTTTCAATCACATCAGATTTTTGACTGGCATCATCCTAAGTGAAACTTAAGTGCTTTCTTCCCTCTACCATATTCTAAATTATTTGCTTGAAAGGACATATAAGAATTTCACTTTTATATCTTAGGAGTCATCTTAGCACAATCAGGTGCCACTAAAGAGCATACTGGCAAGGACATAAACACATGCACAGGCACTTTCTTCTTTTTTTTTTTCTTAAAAGTCAAAGCAAGCAACAACATATTTTCGGAAATAACTGGAAGCATCTTAAAACATTTGATTTAAAGGGAAGTTTTTTTGTGTAGAAGATAGACTGAATAGCAAAGAATATTTTAAATAATTTTATAGAATCTGTTGTAACGGTATATGAGCATCCCATATCACCTTTCTGATGCAAAGAGACGCAGGTGGGAAACTGGAACATAGTCTCTCATCAGAGTTGCAGTGGAAAAGGCTTCTGAATCTGTGTCAGAGTAGGAGGCTGATGGAAGTAGGAGGCAATACCAAAGCAAAACCTCTTATTCTCCTATGCTCCACTTTACAGTGGTTTATAAATTAAGGTTCTAAACTTACTAATTACTTCATTTCTCTATTTCTTGCAGGACAGTCACCTCCTGAAAAGCCTACGATAATAAAATGTCGTTCTCCAGAAAAGGAAACCTTTACTTGTTGGTGGAAACCTGGTTTAGATGGAGGACATCCTACTAACTATACTTTGCTCTATAGCAAGGAAGGGTAATAAGATAATTATTCAGTATTTTATCAGAAGGATCTAGAAAATCAAGCCTAATTGGTTTTGCATTTAAGAGTTGCCTTTTTCCACTTGCTCATTCATCATTGACAATTATCAGAGAAGAGAAAATAGCTTCAGGCTTTTGTGCAAGTGACATTTGCTGGAATAGCAACAACACACTTAAGGTTGAAATTGGATCTCTTCTTAATGTCAGTTTGTCTTCAAACTGACATTAATTGTTCTAGTGTGGATAGACTTCATTGAAATTTGTCATGCTGCAGCAACCATGCAATAGTGTTTGTGATACAGGTATGCAATCCTGTAGCAACTTGCCCACACAGCCCCAGAAAAGGCTTTCCAAATTGACGAGATATTTTCATGTTCTGATAATGCTTTTTTTTCCAACAAGTATTCATGAGCCATGAATGCTTCACTGCTTCTGTGGCAATTTAGTAGCTCAAACTTAAGTGCCAAATGCTCATTTTTGGGGGAACCTGTAAAGTGAACATTTTAGTTCATCCCAGCTCTGCTCCCGTTAGGACTGACCTAACTGGACAGTAAGCTGCAGAAAAGATGGACCTTTGCCCATGGAAAAAGACAGAAACTGGTGCAGCCAGACAGGGCAGAGTGTGAGGCTCACATCCCCACCACTCTGATATGTTGTTCTGCTTCTCAGAGGAACCTGGAAACAAATATAATGTGCTTAGCAGGTGCAAAATGGGTGGAAAATAGATTTTTGGAGGAGGAAAAGATGATGAAAAATAGATGGCAAACCTGTGGTTTGGGCAGAATTAACATAAACTTGAAATGAACACTGGAATCCCACAGTTTTCAATACATGGGGTTAGAAAGCTTTGGCAATTACTTTCTACTTGCTGTTTGGACCATGTAAGGACTATGCAGTGGAGAATGGCATTTGGAAAAGTGATTCACCAGCCTACTGCTGTGCTCACAGCAGCATGAGCACTCCAGGCTCCGTAGTTTTTACCCTGTGGAATGAAGCTTACTACAGTCCCTGGAGTTGCCCAGTGTGCTTTCCACCAGAAAGCAGTTTTCTAATGTTCTTTACAGTGCTTGGAGGGAAGAACCTGATCGAGCCCTAAGTAACACTGAACTCTGAGTAATCAAAGCCAAGTGTCGTATTCTGTATATATCCTAATCTCTGTGATTCTTTCATTTCAGAGAGGAACAAATTTATGAATGCCCAGATTACAGAACTGCAGGCCCCAATTCCTGCTACTTTGATAAAAAACACACCTCTTTCTGGACTATATACAATATTACTGTAAAAGCAACTAATGAAATGGGAAGTAACAGCTCTGATCCTCATTATGTGGATGTGACTTACATAGGTAAGAGATAAATAAAGGTTTTTAAGTGGAATTCAACTAATTCAAAATTATGAATTTTGATACTTGGATATAATATTGTATATGAGAAGAGCTAGAATTAAATTCCTAAGCTAAAAACATATAAGAACTAATAAGATCTCGTCTGCTGTAATGATAATTTAATATAGCATTTTATTTTCAAAGAATGTCTAAAAATCCAAAAGCTTAAAAAACTGCCTTCAGATAACCATGTAAAAGTTTTGCGTATTTCTGTCAGTCAAGAATCATCATCCATCTAAATCCTTTCTACTGTACCAAAAACTGAAATCAAATTGATCTTTTAACTAATACTATTTAAATTTAATTACCTAAGAGTAGTTACCTGAAATTTGCTTTTCCCTCAGACTCAAGAGATGCTAAATCAGTGCTCTCTCTGGCACAGTATCTGATAATCTCCTTTCTCAGACTTTTTCCACAGAGTGACTGGGCAACTATTTAGGGTTTTTTTCTAATGGAAAGAACAATATCACTGATATCCAGTTTGTTATCAATGGTGTGTCCACAGGGAGCCTAGCAATTGAAAAAGTACTCCTGGAGAAAAAGCTTAAAATTTTACCTCCATGTCATGACTACTTACTTGCTGAAACTTCACATAAGACAGTGGAAAATAATACATGCACTAAATCCAGGTACTTTAGTACTCTGAACTGAGTTAGCTGCAACCCTGACTTTGGCTAAAAGCCAAGTTCCATTTTATTTTACTTTTAAAGTATAGATGGGGCTTTAATATTGCTATTGTGTTTTATTTTTAAATAAATCCTTTATTATGTTTTATATTTAAATATATACTATGCATGTAAGGATTATAATGTGAGTTTTTTGGATATAAAAGATAGGGGAAAGGGTTTTCGCAGTTAAATCTATAATTCCAGCATCCCTAACTGTATATAACAACTCTGTTAACATGATTAATACAACTTCTGTAACAGAGCACTGAATGTTAGCTTCATTTCTGCTAATTTTGAAACATGGTTGTAGAAGAGCAATAAATGATAATTGTAGAAAGTAGCAAATCTTATTATGAACTAACTTATTTACTATTCTTCAGTTACTTCAAATTTATAAATCCATCCTACTTCATCAGGAAATTCTTGATTCCTGAATCCCAGCACCAGTTCTATGTTACTAGACGCGCTGGAGGTGGCAATTTGCCACTTGCACTATTTTATACCTCCTCCTACGATGCAGGGAAAAGTCTTGCAGCCTTAGTGTCTGTTCTTTTATTTTAACAGTACAGCCAGATCCTCCTGTGAATGTAACGCTAGAATTAAAAAAGCCAATCAATAGAAAACCCTATCTGGTCTTGACGTGGTTCCCACCCCCACTGGCTGATGTCAGATCTGGATGGCTTACTCTGGAGTATGAGCTGCGACTGAAGCCTGAAGAAGGAGAGGAGTGGGAGGTAAGGAAACTGCAGATTTTTGCTAGATTATGTTTTCTGATCAATTAGATTTTGTCAGCTAAGTTCCATGCCTGAATGTAATGAAGCAGGCACATGTAATGAAGTGGTTCAGCCTTTTCAAAAGCTCTGCTTGGATGGTCTGTGGCTTTCTGTTGAGAAGACTGTGGTATCTCAAATGCTGTTGTACACAATGATGTAATAAAAGGCACTGAAATATATTTTTAATTATGATAATTCTATATTAATTACATTGGTATATAGTTTAATTTGTTAGTTCCCACTTCCTCAGCCACAAGCACTTCTTGGGAACATAAGGCTCAATAACATTATGTAAAATTATTTACATTTGTACCCCCCCAAAAAAAGAAGACAATTGTCCTGACCACATAAAAACAACTGTCTTTGCCCAGAAGGTGCAAATCAAATAACTGGGCAGCAAATTAAAGACTTCAGCTATTGGCATTGAGCTGCATCCCTTCCTTGTCTGCTGCAGCCATCTCTGTGTCTCCTCCTTCCTTCCCATTGCCACTATCATTTCCAGCTCCTTGGTCCTTGTAAGGTCCACCGTTCCCTCACCTGTGCAGTTTCATCAACTTCCACACTCCTCCTTCGCTGTCTGCATTTTCATCACCAGTATTTGTGTTTTCTGTCTCCTCTCACCATTGCATTTCCACCACTACTACACCTGCCATATGCTCTTGATGGATTTTTATACTAGTTTCAGTTGCACAGTATGAAAGGGCTTAACAGCATTCCCACTGTTTAAAATTCCCACATTTTAAAATGTGAACCACAGAAATAAAACAGATATACCATTATAATGTGTTCATATAACAATTCCTCTGAAGCCATCCAGATCCATCCTATATTCCCAACTTGATTATCAAGACCTTAAGTTAGCTATGATTTTGATAACAAAATGTCTTAATTTTATTATTTTTTATTATTATTTGGATTTTATTATTTTTAATTCATTTTTCAGACTATTTTTGTTGGACAGCAAACACAGTATAAAATGTTTAGTTTAAATCCGGGAAAGAAGTACATAGTGCAGATTCACTGCAAACCAGACCACCATGGATCATGGAGTGAATGGAGCTCAGAAAAGTATATTCAGATCCCCAGTGGTGAGTGGCCAAGCATCCTTTCAATAACTGTGTAACAGTGAAGTTCATGTGATATTTTTGTTAGCTGTCCAAAGCAGCCATGAAGATTGACATCCCCTAGTTTCCCTAAGACAGGTAAGATAACTGAATTCTCACCTTTCCTGCACTCTACTCAGTTAGCTCTTCTCTTCATTGCTTTTAGGAGTTAAGAAGGTGAATAAATTTCCTTGCTTGTTAAACCCTGTTCTTTCTCTTTATTGCCTGGTAGTTTTTAATGAACAGAATACTGGCAGTTGCATTAAAAATACCACATAGACAGGAAATAATCATTACTTTCAGACTAACAACTCTGGATTGCTGTCTATCTGTAATGAATTCAAAATGTACACCTTAATGTAAAGAACATATATTACAGTAAAAATCCATAAAACCATCTAGTTGTAGATTATTTTGCTAGCCATTTAATTAATTATATGATACGTGTTTGATAGTGAAATGACTACAGCATTGGCATAAGTAGATTTGAAGCCAACTGAACTCATTAATAAAAAGCATATTAATTATCAGATGTTAGTAGTGTTATAGAGATCAGTCTATGCTAGAAATGGCTGCTAGATTCAATACCAAATTTTGCAGTTTAGATCCATTTTTAAAACGAAGGCCATTTGAGACTTCTTTTTGCATACTTACTATGTAAATCTTAGACATGTGTCCTTAAATAATTTCATTTGTTTCCTAGACTATAGAGTAAAAGATATGATTGTGTGGATCATCGTGGGTGTCTTATCATCTCTCATATGTTTAATCATGAGCTGGACAATGGTTTTAAAAGGATACAGGTAAGTCATCAATTTCATGATAGTATAGAGTTGGAAATCTCAGTAAACTTGTTAAGACATATAGATATTTGATTGAAATATTTTAAATATTTGATTTCCTGTGATTTTTATGTTCTTTTATCAACTATAAATTAGAAATCTGACATATCTATCTGTAGAGGCCTGCTAGTCCTGCTGCCTTGTGCAACAGACAGCTGTGTCTTGACCAGCTGACAAAATTACAGTGATTTCAGAAGACTAGAGGTTGAGGGAAAAAGGACAGTAGAAGAATATTAGCAGTGTTGCTTCTCCAGTTTAGTAACAATTATTTTTGTGCTGCTCTCTTCCTTCTAAATACAACTAAGGATAACTTATAAACTATACTTGTTTCGATAAATTGTCTGACTTGAGAAGGTAAACAAAAAACAGGTCCAGTAGGAAGGTAGTGGATACAGAGAAGTGGCTGAAATTTGTCACATTCGGGCAACATGGGAGAAGAGAGAGATAGGGCCTGTCCTTTTATGCTGTGTGTTTGATCTGCTTATTTTAGGATGATAGCCTTTATCCTACCACCAGTCCCGGGACCAAAGATAAAAGGCATAGATACACATCTGCTGGAGGTGAGTACCTCAACAACTACAAAATCATTTACCATTACATACTTTTCCAAGTTCTGTACTAGTTAAATCAATTACCGTAATTAAGATATAGCTTTAATTAATGCTAAAAATAAGCAAAACTTTCAGTTTGATACTGCTGAGCATCTAGGCAAGGCAGAGTGTTTAAACTAGCACTTCACAGTAGTGATAGGAGGGGGTTTGGGAGCAGGGTTTGACATAGCAGCTGTTCCCTGGTGCCCTGCAAGAGGCAGTGCCTAAAAGATCTTCCTAAAAGTTCTTGCAGAGAAGTACTCTGCCATCTCCTGTCATGCTGAAGAGACAGGACATAGGTGAGCTATTGTACTCCTTCTTGCCAAACCCATGAGATCCTAACCTGCCCTGAATTTCCCAGGTCCTCACATTTAGGAACATGAATTCTGGGATTTTGTCTCTGCACTGAGAGAACTCAGGAAAAGCTCTTCCTCAGTTTTCTCCAGCTGTTGAGATTCAGTTTAGATCTAATTATATAATTATGCAAGTAATTACATATTAACTATGTAGATTTTCACTGTTGCTCTAGTCATATGTAAACCTCCGGAATATCAACAGAATATCAACTTTATATTTATTATGCCCTTAGGCGGGGAAGTCTGAAGAATTATTGAGTGCTCTTGGTTGCCATGGTTTCCCTCCAACATCGGACTGTGAGGAACTACTGATAGAATATCTTGAGGTGGAGGACAGCGAGGATCAGCAACTCAGGCAAAGTCATAACAACGGTCATCCCGGTAAAAACGCAAAAATGACATCCAAGGAAACCGACAGTGACTCAGGACGAGGGAGCTGTGACAGTCCATCTCTGCTCTCTGAGAAGTGCAGGGAGTCCTGCACCCTTCCATCGAAACTTCCTTCACAAGATGTAAGAGAGATTCATGAAAATAATGCAGGAAAAAAGGGTTGGGAGACTCAGTGTGTAGCCTCTTCAGAAGACAAAGCACTCCCTTTCAACATTGCAGGGACAAAATCATCCACGTGGCCTGCAGCTAATACTCATCCTTCTACATTTGCCTATCATAGTACTGTAGATGCACAGAAGATAACACTAAGTACCACAAATGTGAATGCTGCACCAGTTCTGGTGGGAAATGAAGAAAAGCATCAGTCACGATATTCTACCAGTGAAACTCTATGTGAAGAAAACTTGGAAAAGCAACGAGAGATGGAGAATATGCATTCCAAAAATGACCAAAGCACAATACAGGTCAATCAAAACAAACTCAATGAAAAGTCATCTTTTTTAAATGCTAAAATAATGGATTACGTAGAGGTCCACAAAGTTAGACAGGATGAGAATTCAGCAGTATTACTGAAACATAAAGAAAATAATGGAAAAATTGAAAAATACACAATTTCAGGAAACAGCAAAGAATATACAAAGGTCTCAACAGTTGTGGACCACAATATTCTAGTATTAATGCCAGATCCAAGAGTCCAGCACACACCTGTATATCAGGAACCTGCAAAGGAAATGTCTCAGACCCTTCAGCAAGGCCAAGTCGAGAAAAACATGAGCTACTGTCTGCCAGTTCCAAGTGAGTGCCAAAGAGAGGCCGGTGGATCAGAGTACATGGACCCATCTTCCTTTATGCCCTCCTTTAAATAACTGAAAGTTTGATTATTCTTCATCAGGTAATGCTACAGAATGAGTTAAGTACAATCAGTACAATAAAGCTAAGCTCTGTGTTTCAGGATTATGCTACTACATCATAATTGTGGCTTACACCTTTTCCTAGCTGACAAGTCTTTGATTTGCGTATTGATTTGCTTAATAGTTGTGTACAGTGCAAGGAAAACATGCAGGAAAGCGTTCCTTAAAAAAACTACCCTCCTATGTGTATTATAGAGAGAATAAAATAAACTGTGGGTTGATATGCTGATAATCATGGAAATAAAACTTAGATAGTTAACATAAGTTTCTGACCACGGGAAATGAAGTATTTGATACTATGTGCCATGAAAAACTACACTGTAAACAAATTATTCAACTTCTGAGATCTTCTCTCATTTATTTAAACCTATGGGAATATTTCTGACACAACAAAGATGAAAATTGTTATAGGTCAGTCAATATACCATGGTTGTCAGATCCCAACGAGAGCAGTTTCAAACCAGATAAGTCACTACAAAATAACATTCTGATGTATAGTGGTTTCTTTTTTCTCAATGCATTCTGACACTAGATTGTTTTCTTTATACTTTTTCTCAAACTTAAAAAAGGACCTCTAATATGTGAAAAATCATATATGAAACAAAACATATTCAATTAATTATAGTAAAATAACAAATCCTTCTAAATACATTTTTGATTTTGGTGTGACAGATAATTTTACATCCCATTCACATCCTACTACATTCAAACCCAATATGAAAAAAATAGCGAGATACTATCTGATATACTGCCTTACTGTATATAATATACAATACTACTTTAGTACATGCCCATGTGTTCAACAATGTATTTTTAAAGGCTATTTTTCTAATACAAAACAAGGCAAAATAAAACATTTTTAATTTCCCAATGCTATTTAGCTACATAACTGTTCTGTTTCCTTCTGCTGCAGCAGAAGTAACGGGTAAAGCTCCCATTTCTATATAAAAGATGAGTGAACTTTATAGTAATTAAGAATATTAAGTAATTTTTATCTATATTTCTAATATATTACAGATGTATTACTATTTGAATTATAAATTATTTATTCCATATGTTTTTTACATGCTGTTATTGCAAAATTATAATAGAATCCAGGTTTTGAGAGCACAGCTTCTTTCCCACAAAACTTGTAGCCTGATGCCACTCCGGAGTGGTATGGGATGGGACAAGATGACTGCAAGCCTTTTGTATCCCTCTTGTCGCGGACACAGGCAGAATGCTGTCAAGCTGCAACTTAAAGATTTTACTTATGTAGTGGATTTCTTAGGCTACCAGCAGGCAGATAGTACAGATGTTACAAACCAAAGAAAGCACCAAGCGAGGCTCTTGCTGGCACGCTGATTACATGGGACCAGGGGAAGCCAGGCACAATCTTTAGCAGATGTGAAATGTAGGATTATCCTGACTAATTTAAGGTATCTATATGTGTACCAGGTTTGTAAATTTTCGTTGTAGACTGGGAAGCCTAGAGCACCTGGCCAAATGCAAGAATCTATATGAGGAAGAGACGATTTGCACTCTGATCTCCACTGACTGCATTTAAAGTTTGTCTCCCCTAACTTCCTCTAATCAAAGGCTAAAACCCGAATTTCAGTTATGTTTACTCAAACATTTTCTGTGTTGACCATGGTTAAATGAAAGAATAAGGGCTGCCTTAATATTCTGGGGTATGTCCGATTCTGTTCTAGCCACTGGGTCCCAGGAACATTCCTAACTTTAAGATCCTGGGTTCATAAAACACAAAAGATCAGATTTTCAAAAGACCTGTAGTTTATATGCTCATGCAAAGCTCAAGTTGCCACAAGAAAAACATTAGTTTTATTGCCTGAAGAGCCAGTATTGCAAGACATTGTAAAGAAGGTCCTTCCAGTGATCCTCTCAGAAAGAGAACTGAGTAGAAGAGTGTCTATGCCTTCCTATAAACTGGTAGTGAAGCTACAAGAGCAGTAGCTTCAATCACATTGTCAGGCATAAATTCTCTTCCACCTTGTCAACCAAGTGTCTCATGATGTCAAATCATTGTGGTTTCCTGTGGAAAAAAGAGAAATCCAGCTAGACTGCAAAAGGTACATTTTTGGAAGGGGCTAAGCCTCTTGGGGATTTGCTATATAGATATAATATGAACACATTTTTAATAAACAAATTTCATACTTTGAGTTGAACAAATGTGCAGTGGGATCATTTCTCCTTTGGATGTGCTTTTATTTTCCAAAATCCGTAGGAATAACACCTTCTGAAACTGGTCCAAACTGTACTTTTGCACATCAAAAAGAGAATAAACAAGTGTTCTGTAAAATTGAGATAATCTTCAGCTGAGTCTATGAGCCCTTGGATGTTCAAATAAATATATTTTTGCAATATTATTTTTGTTTACAACTCTTCAAGGAATTGTTTTATTATTATTATTATTATTATGAAATAGATGAGATTTTGTAGCAGTTGTACAGATTAGATTGTTGTGAAGATACAAAACAAGTAGTGGGGAATAACAGGCTCCCCACCACAAAGGGAAATGATTTTCATCACATAATTTACCCTAGGAACAGATATTAGCCCTCAAGCCTAAATATCTCCATTGGATAAATTTCTTAAAAAATTGAAAAAGTTTGTGTGATGTTTTTAATATAAATTCTGCGTATGTGTATATTAAATTGTAAATTGCGTTTTACTAGCACAAAAGCTCTACAAGGAAGCATAATGGCTCTTCAGAAGTAGTTCATTTTATAAAGTTCATACAACTGAATATGTATATTTTTAAATAATATATTTTCTTTAGATACAGAAAATACTATTAACAGCTTTTATTTATATTGGGAAATACAGTACATCATTATTTTAAATTTTCTCAGTAGATTTCTTTCTTTAACAAAGACATAGTTGATACAATGTTTTGGTATTTTCAATAAGATGCTCCTGACTTTTAAATAAATATGATTTATTGAACTGAGACATGTGCTGCCAAAACTTACTGTCCCCAAAAAATACAGGTTTGAAGAATGGTCTTTATGGTATTATGTAACTACAAAGCATTATTTAATAAAAATGTAGTAAACCAACCTTATGTAATACTAATAAGAGGATATATTTGTTTATGGAACAAACTGAAAAACAAATACGTAATGATAATTGATTTATGAATTCTGTGGTATGTTTTATGTGCTTCTGTTCAGATGGCTGGAAAATCTACAGTTGCTTTAAATGTCATGTAAGTATTTAACATGTAGTAACAGTACGTACCAAAAATGGATATGCAGTATTCGTGATATCTGAAGCACTGTGTATGTGGAATTCACATCTTGAAGCCTGTAAATGTGTTGGATAATCTTTCATTAACTGTAAACAACTCGAAAGTGTTGTGCAAGGAAACCAAAGTCATCTAAGCCAGTTGTGAATATCGTAACTCTGCTACAAAGCCATAAACCCACAGGAAATGAAAATGCATCATGAGATCAGGCGCCATATTTTTTAAGAATTGCTACCTCACTTTTTTTTGCTCCCAGAAGCATTTTTCTTTGTATGTCAAATTACTACATCAAGATTAAAAACAACTTAGAATTTGTAATGTTCAATTTGTTTTTGTTAAACAACAGTTTGTCATGGAACCATCACTTGGGTTGCACTAACACTGTTAGGATGGGATACTAGCGATATGTAGCAAGATGAGATGTTTATTCAAAAAACAGACACGATTTTCCTAATGCATCAGTCCCTCTCCTGGACTGACAAGTTATTTGGGAGCTGTCTCTGTGCCCACCCCACTTGGATTGAAAAAACTGAGCTCTCTCTCTAGATTGACAAATACTAAACTCATCATTTGTCAACATTTGCTATCCGGAAAGAAGTTTTGAGTTCCTGAGAAGTAAAGCTTCAAATTCTGTCTCTAAATGAATGAAAATGGACACTAGCCCAACTCATAACCATCTCAAACGCTCATATTAAAACCAGAACACTGACTTCCTTCAGACTCCAGTTGATGTGGACATGTGTCTGAATTACACTGAGCTGGAACAATCTTGTGGCCCGGTTTTGAAAACTCTTTTGAACCAATTACAGGAACGTTTGTAATTGTCTTTTCTGTGTATGTCAAGCAGGAGATTAAAGATAAATTAAATATGGAAATACATAATGCATGAGAATGGAGAGAGATCTTAGTGAGGGAAAGCAGCGCATGGTGGGTGCATGTGGCAGAAGAGCGGGAGCACAGTCACAGGGAACACCATAGGATGTTCAAAGATGGGGAAATTAGAGAAATCAGCAGGCATTGCGCATGCGTATGGCCTGCAAGGGAGGGAGGACAGAAAGTGGAGGCAAAAGCAGCCAAATGAGTGTGTGATAAATGAGATTGTGGGTAAGAAAATAGAAGAGAAACAAATAGACTTTAATATCAAAAGGGGGGATATCCACAGTTATCTGATATAGTCCACAAAAATAAGGAGGCCTTATTAAAGCCTAACCAGTTGGCAAAATACTCAAATCAGCTACGAGAAATCAGCTACTATACAAGAAATGGAAAAAATCCTATACATGAGAGTTGGTCTCTTCATTCTTATGCATTACAGGATTTCCTTCCAAGTATATGGTACTGGCCATTGGCAATCAGAGTACTTGAAGAGCTCAGACACTAAATTTGATTTGCTGTTTTATTTCCTACATGTCTAAGGAAAAAAAAAAAAGAACAGTGTGGCCAAACTGTTTTTAAAAACAACATTCAATTTTAGTCAGAGATTTATAGATGAGGCTTTTTTTCCTCCATTTGCACTGTCTTGCAGATTTGCCTGTCACTCTTAAGTATTTTTTTCTACTTATTAAAGATCTATGAGCCACAAGAGCCAAAGGACTTTGTGAACCCAGTAAAATGCCCTCTTGACATTTCTAGGCATTGTTTAGTCTGTACCAGCAACAATCCAACACTTAATTTATTTTTTTAATCAGATAGTCGCTGTCTTGGTGATAAATCTTGAGAGTTACCAAGTCAGGCATAAAACACATTTTCTCCCATATAAGTTTTTAACAGAAAAATACTTTATCTTTGTGCAGCCTTTTCCAAACAGTCCATGTGTTAAAAAGCTCAGCAAGATAGTGGTGCACAGACAAGCTAGAAATAAGAAAAAATCACAGCTCTCTCTCATAGGGAGGATTAATGTCCTGTTCTATTTTGTGATGCTGCTTTTCTTGGACTTTGTCTTTATTTGACTTTGTTTTTTGACAGTGCTGCTTCTGGGTCTATTTTTGTGAGCTGCTGAGTATCTTCACCTCATTTTGACAACAATAAGAATGGAAATAGTTCACTTCCAAGAAAGATTATTTAGTCATCAGTTTTATGGTCATATAACACTGAGCAGATCTTTAGAGGATGCTGAAAATCTTTGTAGGGATCACTTGTATGAAGTATCTCTTACATATTTCAGGACATGGTACATGTCCAGGAATGGGCACTTTTTTCTATATATTTGATATATATATATGGAAATACAATGATGTTAAACCATATTGTTAATATTCGTAATGAACATTACTCTTAATTCTCACCCACCTATCCTTTGCTCTGAAAGAAAACTACTGTCCAGACATACTCAGATGGGAGCTCCTAGGCTGCTTTGCTAATTTTCATGTTTCATCTTAGAAACTAATTTTTATTCATTCTGTTTACAAATGCCATTCTTCATCTATAATAAGAGAACTATCAGTTCCATGTATGTGTTATACTGCTCAGAGATACTCAACACTATCTGGGCTTCTAAGCTTATGTTGTGTACGCCAATGTTGATCCAATGTGTAAAATAGAGCAATACTGGGGGTGCTGGTCTGAATAAGCACTGCCCAGAAAAAAATGTCAGCAGTACTTAATAATGTGCATTTGCTCAAGTTTCTGGCATGTTGATAAGTGTAGGGGAAAGTCTCTGGAACTTCCTTGCCTGAACCCTGCTTTATGAATAATATCAGCAGGTCTCTTTAAGAAGCATTTATGAATCATAGTCTGAATAACATGCACAATAAACAAAGTACTTTCCAAGACAGAGAGGGTCTAATATTTAAAGCAAAATTTTTTCCATTTGCGTAAACCATCCCATTCTTAGGCTCATAATAAAAGCTGGGCATCTTTTCATTACAGTTTTCAGAACTTGTAGGCAATCTGGAACGTCCAAGTTATTGTAGTGTCATTACTGTAGCAACAGAATGACTTGAAGCACAATTATTCTATGAATCAAATCCAAATGTTTTGTAAATTGCTAAAATTGAAAAAATATAGCAAGTACATCCTTTACTATACAGTACATACATTGGTTGGAAAATACTGGTATAAAAAGAGCTGCTCAGGAATTCTTCTTTGTTTCTAAGTGTATTTGAAGGACAATGCTTTAAAGTGTATGTATTTTTAAGTTCTTAATATTGAAAATGCTAGCTTAAAAACAAACCTGTTAGCAATTTCACTTGTAAGGTCAATATTGTCACTGATGTCTGTAGCTTTCTGATGGACTTTTCAATCTTTTGTCACTGTAAAACTCTTTGCAATGGTGTTTGCATTTCAATTTAATAAAACACTTCTTGAATAAATTTTATATAGTCTTATAGCTCTTTTTATCACAGAATATATCAGTTCCTGTATATAATGTGTAACATGCAAGGATAAAGCCAGGCATCCAGCAGAGTTTGTGGGATGGGCTATCACCGTTCCGCACATGGAAGGACCAGTCTCAGATGCATTTAACCCATGGCATCTGCACTGAGCAATTGATCTGATGTGCGGGAGGCTCCTGATTTGCAGGTGTCCTAAGAACACAACATGAAGTGTTCCGTGCATATAAGCAGAGCATGACAGGAGATTTGCTCTCCAGCTTCTTGGAGGAGCTGGTTAGAAGACTTGGCTCACTGCTGCTCACATCTCACTCCTAGCATAGAGTCTGTAGGCATAAACAGGCAATATATTCACATGAACCAAACATTTGGAGAGGAAAGAAAGTGTGAGCAATGCTACTAGCTACAACCAGTGTTCTAGGTGTCATGGGAAGCACACAGTTAATGCAGACATCTCATTCACAAAGTCACATAATTTTTGTATATTCATACTTGTTTATGGCTCTTTGTTTTGAAGAAAAGGATCTCTGAAATTCAGGGACTGCCAGTTATCAAAAGTAAAGCCTGATAGAGAAAGATTGAGAACCTTGGAACCCTGGGGTTTAGAAATGCTACACTGATTGCTAGAAAGGACAAGTGTCTGACTCACTGCTGCAAGAGAAGGAGTGTTGCTTGCAAAATGGAGATCACCCTCCAGGGCTAGAGCCTGCAGCTGCTGCTGCCTGGGGCTGGTGGAAATACAGTGAGAATTTAAAAAAAAGCAGATTAATTTCATGTCCCTGAAGTCTTTATAAAATTGAGGTGTTGCCCATGAATCACAGCAAGGAAATAAAGGAAATGTCACTGTAAAGATGTTGCCGAAAACCGGGAATAAACCTCTTAACACCAATGTAGCATTAAGAAGCAGATATTCCCTTTATTGCAGCGCTGGGTGCACGGGGGATAGCTCCAACCTATCGTGCACGCCCTAAGGTGTGTTTGCTAAAGCTTTTATTTCTCTGTTCTCTACATAAGCATTAAACTCCAGGAATGATCATACATATTCATTCTATTTCCCCGAACTAATTACAATATACCCCAGCCTCGTGCGTGTGCACCCTCTGCCCCTTCGGTGGTCTCCGGTGGCCTTTTGAGACCCCCTGGTGATTGTCCTTCTGTGTCCACTCCGTGACATCCCGGAACTCACTTCCATACATGGCCTTATTCCGGCCCAGAAGGCCCTGTTTTGGTCCTACTGCCCAATTTCAGACAGTTCCTTGACGATACAGTGGTCCTTATCTTTGTGTTCAGCTGGTCTTTGCTGTTTTCTCCATATTCTCTCACGATGTCCCAGAAACATCTGCTGTATTTTCTCATAATATATCAGCAACAACAGCAAAAATACGTCCTTGGGTGCATTCCCTTCTGGGGTTTCTCATAACAAAGGGACTGTCCTGCAAAGGTTATTACACTTGCTATCAACTGAGAGCTTACACAATTTAGAGAAAACAAAACAAAGCAAAGCAAAACAAAAACAACAACCAAAAAAAAAAAATGAACTGAACAAAAAAAACACCTGATTCTGCTACAGTTGTGGCCACAGAAGAAAACATGGGGCACAGGAGCCTCTCAGGCTCCCCAGAAGCTTAAAGGAGACATAATTCAAGTATTTTGGTACTGTATTTTTAGCAGCTTTTGCTACTCTTGTCTGTTAAGGTTGTTTACGTTAAATATAAATTCACTTTACCAGGAGCACCTATCTGATAAAACACGTTTTTTAGTAAGTTAGGTCTGGGAGCTTAGGCCAGTGCCCTGCCAGGCTTTCTGGAGCGGGATGAAAATGTCTTTACTGTGATTAGCTTCTCTCGGAGCTTTACAAAAGGCCTC